AACTCCTGGCTCTACTGGGCAGTCAGAGGGTGAACCAGGGTTTGGAGCACCTTTGACCCCTTTGCTGTGTTGGGCACGGCAGGCCTGGGGATAAAACCCATAGCCCAAGGCAGGCAGGTGAAAAGAATTTTAGAGCAGCATCAACAGTGCCCTGCCTGAACCTCAGCTGGGGCTTCAAGACTCTTTGGTTCTATGGGATACCCCATTTCCTTTAACTTGTGTTATTTTGGGTCGAGTGTTCTGAAAGCTGCAACTGAGAAGATGCTAGCTGATCTCACTAAAGAGGAATTTCCTTTCAGGTCACAGGGTCAGGACTGAGGCAACCTGGGCTTGGGAGAAGGAGGACCAGGCAGTTGATTGGTGACCCCCATTCAGGAACCAATATCCTTGTGCCCAGGGGCTGTGGGAAGGGGGATCTCAATGCAGGCAGAGGAGCAGCAGGTCCGGAGCAGAGAGGGACAATCATGTCCAGGGCCTTCGCTCCCAGTGCAGCTGGAGGCTCCCTTCATAGAATTCCACCTGCCTGGTAAATGCAGAATGCAGTCCACTTAAAGAAATCAGAGCAGCTGCCACGTCAAAGCAGAAAAGATGTGTGGAGGTGGGCGGAGAGGAGGTGGGTAATTATGCAGGAAAAATAGTTTTCTTGATACTCTTCTGGAAATATGCGTGGAACAGAGGGAACAGCGGGAGAGATGACAGGCAAGGAGAAAATGTATGAATAGAAGGCATGCATGGTGTCTCTCCAAAGGTAGACAGAGGCAATGCTGCTTTAACCACAGCATCCTTTTGTGGGGAGCACCTGGGACTCCATGAGACACTTCTGCAGGTACTCAATGTGGAACTTTATCCACGGGTCCACTACAGGATTTGCTGGGAATGATTGAGCCTTTCTTCACTCTGTAATCCTAGCACTTAAGGAGACAGAGGTGGGAGGATCACTTGAGGCCAGGAATTCAATACTAGTCAAAGCAACAAAGTGAGATCCGGTCTCTAGAAAAAAAAAAAAAATTAAATTAGAAGAAAATGAGTAGGAGGGGGGCGAGGGATAAAAGACTACACATTGGGTACAGTGTACACTGCTTGGGGGATGGGTGCATCAAAATCTCAGAAATCACCACTAAAGAACTTATCCTGTAACCAACACCATTGGTTCCCCAAAAACCTATGGACATTTTAGAAGAAAATAGCCAGGTGTGGTGGCATGCGTCTGTGGTCCCAGCTACTCCGGAGGCTGAGGTGGGAGGATCGCTTAAGCCCAGGAGTTCAAGGCTACAGTGAGCAATGTATCACAGAGCAGGACTCTGTTGAGAGAGGGACAACACAGAGAGAGAGAGCACGCCAGGATCTCCCCATGCCACCTCTATGCCCCCTTAGGAATCTGTGCACAGAACCCATGTACTCTGCATGCCCAAGTAGCAGAGAGGCACCCCAAACTCTGAGAAGCAGCTCCGAGGTTGTGAACACTGAATGCAGATAATTATCCAGCTGTGAGGAAGCTGAACATTTCTTAGGGCTATTTCTGCATAATTATAAATATTTGAGAATATTAAACTCCCAGGTTACATATTGAGGGTATTGTTTGAGTAGCAGTTGGCTGCAGAGCTGGAAACAAACATCTTTTCATTCCTCCCTCCTGGTGTACTCAGGATATGTTATGGGATTCAAAAGAAAAAGCCGCAGTTGAGAAAAAAAAAAGCACCAACAACCTGGAAGCAAAGTCAGTTGCTAATATTTCTAAATAGTTTTAAATCAAAGAGGAGGAATGTGACCACTTTAGTTAATTGTGCTGGGTTTGTGATGCATTTTCTTTATGGTTTAGGAAAGCAATTACCACGAAACAACCTACTTGTGCCTCGACGTGATAAAATGTTTCCTCTAATAGGGCCTACATGCCCAGCAGTAGGCCTTTACAAGCACTCAGCGCTTCAGGGAGCATTTTCACATGTGGGGCTCCTTGGGGTGCAGTAAGAGCCCATGACTCACTCCCTAGGGACTAGTCATGGTGCAGGAGGTTTTTTTTTTTTTTTTTTTTGAGATGGATTTTTGCTCTTGCCGAACAGGCTGGAGTATAAAAGTGCGATCTCGGCTCACTGCAACCTCCACCTCCCGAGTTCAAGCGATTCTCCTGCCTCAGCCTCCTGCGTAGCTGGGATTACAGGTGCCCACAACCATGCCTGGCTAATTTTTGTATTTTTAGTAGAGACGGAGGATTTTGCCATGTTAGCCAGGCTGGTCTCGAACTCCTGACGTCAGGTGATCCACCTGCCTCTGCCTCCCAAAGTTCTGGGATTAAGGCATGAGCCACTACACCACGGGGTTCTTAATAGAGATGGGTCTTTCCAAGCAGAAGCTGGTGTCTGGTCTGTGAGTGGAGGCTCTGCTGCCCTGGTTCTGTCCAGAGTCCCATGTGGTGAGCCCAGGGTCCTGTCCAGATTCCCACCCTCACACTCTTGGTCACCCCATCTTGTCCTCCCACCCACTGAAGTCTCATATCTTCTCACCCACTCCCCATGTGCTGTCCTCTATACCCTGGAAAGCAGGGACCATCTGTTACAGACACAGCCTCTCCTTTCATCTCCTGCTTTGCAGGTGTCCCCTGCTGGCCACAGCTTCCTCACATTTCCTGGGAGTTGTCCCTTCTCCAGACCCCTCAATATCCCTTGAAACCATTGCTCAATGGGTACCTTTGAACAATTCCAGCCCCCTCTCATCCCCTCCCTGCTGCCCCAGTTTTTGAGGCTCCTGTTTGCTGTTCTCTCTTCCCAGCCCTTGCTCTGGGGCTTGGCTCACCTTTTCTCTCCCCACCTTTTTCCCAGACTGGAGTGCAATGGTGCAATCTTGGCTCACTGCAACCTCTGCCTCCCAGGCTTGAACCATCCTCCTGCCTCAGCTTCCCAAGTAGGTGGGACCGCAGGTGGGCACCATGTCGCTTCATGACTGGCTCATTTTTTGTAGAGACGGAGTCTCACTATGTTGCCCAGGCTAGTTTTGAACTCCTGGGCTCCAGCCATCTGCCAGCTTCGGCCTCTGAAAGTGTTGGGATTACAGGCGTGAGCCACTGTACCCAGTCTTCCCTGCCCCACCTCCCCGCCATTTTTTTTTTTAAGAGACAGAGTCTCACTCTGTGACTCAGGCTGGGGCGCAGTGGCATGATCATGGCTTACTGCAGCCTTGAACTCCTGGCCTCCAGCAATCCTCCCACCTTAGCCCCCCAAAGCACTGGGATTACAGGCAGACACCCAGCCCCTTTCTCAACTCAAGGACCTGCCTTCATCTTGGGTAACTGTGACGGGTAAGAACGACCCATGTCACTGTCCAGGTCGCCAGCTTCCTTGGTCCCTCTCCATTCCCTGCCACATCCAAGCTGCCATGTCCAGCCCTGTACAGTCTTGGCCTTTAGGATGACACCTCTGCACACCAAGTACCCTGTGTCTCCCTCATCTTTGGCCACCACAAGAGGCCTCTGGTCTGCAGCCCCAGGATTTTTTTGTCCCTTCATTTCTGGCTGGACCCTGTGGCCATCCCATTGCCTCCCTATCAGGCTCCTGAACCCCATGGTCTACATCCATCCATCGCCCATGATGCTGCTGTCTAAGGGCTCTGCCTGGTAAGGATCTGCTGCCTGGTGACCCCACCAACCGATCCTGGTGGGAACCCCCGCCCTACAGTCTCTGGCTCCCCAACTCCCAGCCCTAGCCTCCATCTCCAGTTCCTAGGTCACGGTGAGACGCCAGTGTAGACGAGTAAATGTGCAAAACCAGAACTTCATTTCCCACCCCTCTCCCCCCAGAGGCTGGCAGCTGGCAGGGGGCGTCCTCCCATACCCTCCAGAGAGCGGCCCCGTTTGGCTCTGCAGGTTTGCGGTGGGCGGTGAAACTATCTGCTGACAAATCACCCAAGGTCGGTTTGGAAGCCCAGAGTCCCATACAAACGTGGGACGAAAAAAGACCTGTCACGAAGGCTGCGCTACGTGTCCGGCTGCCCGCTCCGAGCGCCGCTCCAGTTCACTGTCCTTTGGTAGGGGAGAGGGAGGAGGCTCGGGAACCAAGAAGACGAATCCAGGTGGACTACTCGGATACGAAGTTCTCCCGCCCGGACGCCACGGGCCGCCGCGTCGAGGGAGCGCGGGCCCCGGGCGCCCCCTGGAGGTTGTACCGGCCTCGGCCGCGCAGCGCAGACCGAGGAGGGCGCTGGTGTTACTAAGAACACCAGCTGGTCAACTGAAAACACACCTCCCAAAAAAACCGTCAAAGGGCAGGGACAGAAGCATTTGAAATGAAACACCAGGGCCAGGCGCGGTGGCTCACTCCTGTAATCCCAGCACTTTGGGAGGCCGAGGTGGGTGGATCACCTGAGGTCAGGAGTTTCAGACCAGCCTGGAAACATGGTGAAAGCCCATCTGTACTAAAAATACGAAAATTAGCTGGGCATGGTGGTGGGCGCCTGTAATCCCAGCTACTCAGGAGACTGAGGCAGAAGAATCGCTTGAACCCAAGAGACAGAAGTTGCAGTGAGCTGAGATGTCGCCATTGCACTCCAGCCTGGGTGACATGAGCAAAACTGTCTCAAAAAAAAAAAAAAAAGGAAAAGAAAAAAGAAAAAGAAACGAAAGTGTTTAATAAAACGTCAAGCTGATATTGACATGGACAGGATCTGTTGCAAGCCCTGGCACATGACAGACAGCTCCTTAAATCTCATAAACAATGCTACTAGAGAGGGGCAGATTATTCCTATTCTACAGATGAGTGAACTGAGGCACAGAGAGGCTAAGTGACCAGGTCAAGGCCACACAGTAAGTAGCAGGGCCAGAAGCCCAGCCAACGGCCTGACACCAAGTTCTATGGCCTTACTCACTACATGAGACCAATTCTTAACATAATGAAAAACATACACTGGCTAAAAACCAAAGTGTAAATGGAAACAATTCATTCAATAAACGGAGGGAATCCAAGATGGAGGATTCTGCACCTACTGATGGGCCAAGCCGGAGCCTGGGTGTGTTTCCATCTGTGCTCCCTTCCAAGGTCCAGGGTCGTGCTGTCTTACGAGACCTTGGAGGTACTTGGGGTTCGAAGCAAGCTTCCCTTCTGTGAGCCTCCTTGTCTGTTGGCCTGGAGTAGGAAGGCCAGGCTGTAGCATCCTTTCCTCCTGAGACAGAAGCGTAGAGGCGAGGTTAGCGGGAGGTCACTCCAGGGAGGTGAGCCCCATCCTCCCCTAGTGCCTGCCACCCTCCTCCTTGCTTTGGCCAAAGGGCCATTTTCTGCCTCACTGGTCTGGCCTCATCATTTCCCTTGTAGATTATACAACTCACTCTCTAAAAGCCACTTGTGTTTCATATGGTGGTGAACTGCTCCGTAGTTCCTGCTGAAAATCTTCTGTTGATTCCCGGGTTCTCCCAGGTTCAGCTGGGCTCTTTTGAGTCCTGCTTAGGCCACCTTAAGAAGGGCTGCGGGCTGGGAGTGGTGGCTCACAGCTGCAATCCCAGCACTTTGGGAGGCCAAGGTGGGAGGATCACTTGAGACCAAGAGTTGAGATTAGCCTGGCCAACTTGGCAAAACCTCATCTCTACTACAAATACAAACATTAGCCAGGCGCAGTCATGAGCGGCTGAAGTCCCAGTTACTCACTCAGGAGGCACGGGAATTGCTTGATTCTGTCAGGCAGAGGTTGCAGTGAGCAGAGACAGCGCCACTACACTCCAGCCTAGGTGACAGAGTGTGACCCTATCTCAGAAAAAAATAAAATAAAATTTAAAATAAGCAAATAAAAATCAGCTGTACATGTTGGTACATGCCTGTGGTCCCAGCTACTTGGGAGGCTGAGGTGGGAGGATCGCTTGAACCCAGGAAGTTGAGGCTGCAGTGAGCTGTGTTAGCACCATTGCACTCCAGCCTGAGTGACAGAGCAAGACCCTGTCTCAAAAAAATTTTTTTTAAAAAGAAGGGCTGAGCTTGCTTTCAAGATGAGTGCAACAAACTGGGACAGAGCCTGGACCAGAGGCAGGAGAGGGTGAGGCTCACTCTGGGGGCTGGCTGGTTACTCCAGCACTCTCCGAGTCACGTGGTCACTCTCTGACCTCTCTTCTCCTTTCAATTCCTGCACCAGCTGCTGGTCTCCTCCCTGCGGGAACTCCTCTTTCACGTTCCTAAGGCAGCCCATCTATTTTTCTGCCAAGGCACATGATACATCTCTGGATTGGCTGCCTTGGGTCCTGGTTCCCTCAGGGTTTATCAGCAAGGCCGAGAAGGGAAGGCGCTAAGGTGGCCGGCTCGAGACTGTCCCTTCAGTGAGTACTGTGGGTGATACACTGCACCATTAGACGGTCCACTGCAATCTTCAGACTCTTCTTCCTGTTTATTCATACTTGGGTTTCATTTGTTGACCTCTGTTATGGTTGCCTAGAGGTCTTTAAAGGGTACTTAAAAATGTCTTAGGTACTCACCCTTGTTCACGGTAGAGGCTGGCTACCCAGAAACCTGGCAAGAGACTCATTCATAGTTAAACAAACAGGAAATCATCTCTTCCTCCTTCTTTAGTCTCACCTTGCATTTAGAAAAAAAGTAGGCAGACCATACTTAATAAACACCATCCATTAGATTAGATCAACAGGCTCCAAATAGTGCATTTCTTCTAGAAACAGTATCTCCTGGTCTCACAGGAGAGCATGTGGTCAGGAGGAAATTGAATAAAGCCTTTTAATCAGCTGCAGTAGTATTTGAATCATTTAATTTAGAACCTGACAACCACAAATTATTTTTCTGGGCAATTTTAGCCAACCAGGAGAGCTAAGCCAGTCCAGCTCATGCTTAATAAATCACCCTCTTGCCTGATGGTGGCTAGTTTGGGGAAGAGGTTTTTTTGAGGCTTTTCAAAAATAATCAAAAACAAGCTGGGCGCAGTGGCTCGTGCCTATAATTCCAGCACTTTGAGAGGCTAAGGCGGGTGGATCACCTGAGGTCAGGAGTTCGCGATAAGCCTGACCAATGTGGTGGAACAGTCTCTACTAAAAGCACAAAAATTAGCTGGGCGTGGTGGTACATGCCTATAATCTCAGGTATGAGGGAGGCTGAGGCTGGAGAATTGCTTGAACCCGCGAGGTGGAGCTTGCCAAAATCGCACCACTGCACTTCAGCCTGGGTGACAGAGTAAGACTCTGTCTCACGCACAAAAAAAAACAAGGCTGGGCGTGGTGGCTCATGCCTGTAATCCCAGCACGTTGGGAGGCCGAGGCAGTGGATCACAAAGTCAGGAGTTCAAGACCAGCCTGGCCAAGATGGTGAAACCCGATCTCTACTAAAAATACAAAAATTAGCTGGGTGCGGTAGAAGGTGTCTGTAATCTCAGACACCTTGAAAGACATACTTGAAAGGCTGAGGCAGGAGAATCACTTGAACCCAGGTGGCAGAGGTTACAGTGAGCCGAGATCATGCCACTACACGATCAATAGAGTCTGGGCAATAGAGTGAGATTCCATCTCAAAAAAAAAAAAATTAAAAACAATCTCTCACACCATGTATGCCTGACATGAATTATTTGACACACTCCTTTCTCATCTCTCTGTGGCTATAGAGTGAACCCTTGGGGTGGAGCGAGACAAGACATGTGGCAGGGAGCTGTCATCTCTGCTGCTTGTGCTTTTTATCCCTGGCTCCAAGTTCTCATGGCCACAAAAACAAGTCAAATCAAATTAGACACAAGACATACACTGTCTCATGGCAGCTCACCCACTGCCTCCTCAGACTTCTCAACACCTGCTGAAACTCATTCACTGGAAAAAATGAAACAGGAGCTTCAAAAAAATAACACCCATTGGGCACCCTAGATGTAGCCTCTATCGGAGTCACATTAAATCACCTGTGAAGTCTTGTTAAAGGGCAAAATGCAAGACTCTTCCTTCAGAAATAGTCCAATGTCAGCTGCGCACAGTGGCTCATGCCTGTAATCCCAGCACTTTGGGAGGCTGAGGTGGGCAGATCACTTGAGGTCAGGAGTTCAAAACCAGCCTCGCCAACATGGCAAAACCCCGTCTCTACTAAAAATACAAAAATTAGCCAGACATGGTGGTGCATGCCCATAATCCCTGCTACTTCGGAGGCGGAGGCAGGAGAATCGATTGAACCTCGGAGGCGGAGGTTACAGTGAGACGAGATTACACCACTGCACTCCAGTCTGGGTGACAAAGCAAGACTGTCTCAAAAGAAAGAAAGAAGAAAGAGTCTAATGTCAAATAGTCCAATGTCTGCTGCATCTAAGCCACTGGCAGACATCTCTTCTGACCTCCAGGCACATGTGGCTGGGCTCAGAAAAACCCATGGGACTTCAGTGCACCCCTACTGCAAGCAACAGCCACGGGACTGCACTAGATAGCTGCTACTAGGCTGGCCTGCCCGTTTTCATCCATCTATTCCAAGGGAATGAAATGGCAGGAAGGAGGCTGGGGACACAAGCCAGGGCCTGTGGGCTTCTTGGGGGCCTGTTGCACGCTTGAAGGTACAGTACCCATAAGTAAGTGGCATTAAGAAAGGAAGGATCCAGTTCATACAAGAAATTTTAAATTTTTCATGAAATCTAGGTTTTTAGAATTTCTGTCTTGGTCAGGGATGTGTTGATGTGAAACCAGAACCATCCACAGCCAAGTTTGCAAAGGGAAGGGTGTCCCTGCAGAGACCCTGGGGAATCTCTGGGAGGGAACCAGAGGTAAGAGCCTTGCCAGGCCTCCTGGGAACTGTCCAGTTGCAGGTAGCATCCCTCTGGCACTGGGCCTTGAGCTGCTCACTTGTCTCCTGGCCCTGGACACCCTGTTCCCCACAGATAGACTCTTGGTTCTTACTCCCCGCACAACTTGAGCTCACTCAAACAAGGCTCTGGGTTTATCAATTTTGATGATGACACTTGGCCCACTGTTCATAGGGTCTTCAAGAGACAGAGTAGCTGGGTGTAATGCATGTCTGTAGTCCCAGGTAACCCAGAAGGCCGAGGCAAGAGAATAAATTGAGCCTAAGAGTTTGACATCAACATGGGCAACATAGTGAGAAATCTTCTCAAAAAGAGAGAGAGTAGGCCAGGCATGGTGGCTCACCCCTATAATCCCAGCACTTTGAGATGCCAAGGTGGGTAGATCACCTGAGGTCAGGAGTTTGAGACCAGCCTGGCCAACATGATGAAACCCTGTCTCTACTAAAAATATAAAAATTAGCCCAGCATGGTGGCACATGACTGTAGTCCCAGCTACTCAGGAGGCTGAGGCAGGAGAATCTTTTGAACCTGGGATATGGAGGCTGCAGGGAGCCAAGATTGCACCATTGCACTCTAGCCTCTGGTCAACAGAGCGAGATTCCCTCTAAAAAAAAAATAACAACCCACAGAGAGAGAGAGAAAAGGGGGGAGGAGGGGGAGAGAGGGAGAGAGAGAGAGAGAGAGAGAGAGAGAGAGAGAGAGAGAGAGAAAGTGATGCATCCTTGTCGAAGTCCTGGTTGCCATAGTGCCACTGTTCTAGAAGCATCTTTCAAAAGGCCCCATCCAGAATCTCCCAGAGGGCATCTAAGCAACTGCCTATACTTAAGAATGGAGATGTGACTGAGATCATCTGAAGGGGACTGCTGTCTTTGTCCATTTGGACTGCTATAACAAAATGCCATAAACTGGGAAGCTTAAATGCAACAAAAATTGATTTCTTACAGTTCCGAAAGCTAGGAAGTCCACAATCATGGTATCAGCAGTCAGTGTCTGGTGAGGGTCTGCTTTCCAGTTCATAGACGGTGCCTTCTCATTGTGTCCTCATGTGGTGAAGGGGTGAGCTAGCTCTCTGTGACCTTTTTTATAAGGGCACTAATCCCCAGCATGAGAGCTTCACCCCTATGACCTAATCACCTCCCAAAGATGCCCACCTCCTAATACAATCACACTGGTGAATTGTGGAGTGTTGGGAACAAATGCTCAGTGCCCCAAAGAAGAATCAGCACTGAGACAAAGGATCTCGCAGCAAGGCAAATTTACTTTCTGCAGAAAGGGTGCTGCTCGCGATGGAGCAACAGCGAGAGCAACTTGAACAAAGGAGGGAAGGAGTTTTTATTTCTAATGCAGCTCATTCCTGCTACTATGTCCTGTATCCATTGGCTGGAGTTGGACTGAGCAATCTAAGCTGAACCTGGTTGGCTAAAATGAAATTGCAGGAATTCTGTTATACCCACAGAGAGTGCAGTTTTGGGGGAAGGAGCTGTTGCAATGGAAAGAGTAATCTATAGAGTGGGTGACAGATGTAGAATGTGATCTCCATAGATAAGCACTGGCAGGAAGTTTGTTTACCAGGGCAGGGGATACAGGGAGTAAGGAAGTCTGGCCTTGAAAGCCGGTAGCAAAGAGCCAAGACGCTGGGCAAATTGACCCTTTAAGAGGAACTCTTTTTATACATAATATGGAGGGACATAAACATTCAGTCCATAGCAACCACTGAAGCCTGCTGCCAAAGCCCCTTGACACCCTCTATTGGCACCACCACTGCCTGCACCCAAACCCAAACGCCAGACCTGACTTTTCTAATCAACCTTGACTCTGTCACTTACTCCTTGGACCTGTTTCTTAATTTCTGATCCTCAGCATAGAACATGGAGAACAAGAGCCCTTTTCTCTCAGGGTTGTTGTGAAAATTAAATGAAATAAGAGTTTGAGGGCGTAAACCAGAAAATAATAAAGATAATAGATTGTTTGACCTAGATGCAATTGGAGATCATAGAAAATACAGATGAAGGTAGACTGGAGATGTGATCTTGTTCTAGAAAGATGCATACGTGTTGAATTGACACAAGAATAACGTATATTTCAGGCCAGTTACAGTGGCTTACACTTGTAATCCCTACACTTTGAGAGGCAGAGGTGGGAGGACCACATGAGACCAGTTGTTCAAGCCCAGCCTGGGCAACATAGTGAGATCCCATCTCTACAAAAAAACTTTTTAAAAAATTAGCCAGGTGTGGTGTTGCACACCCATCTACTCAAGAGGCCGGAGGATCAGCTGAGCCAGGAGTTTGAGGCTACAGTGAACTATGATTGCATCACTGCACTCCAGCCTAGGTGACAGAGGGAGACCCCCATCTCTTAAAAAAAAAAACAAACAAATTAGCTGGGCATGGTGGTGCCCCTCGGTAGTCCCAGCTTCTCAAGAGGCTAAGGTGGGAAGATCCCTTGAGCCTAGGAGGTTGAGGTTGCAGTGAGCTGTGATCATGCCACTTCACTCAGCCTGGGCAAGAGAGTGAGGCCCTGTCTCAAAAACAAACAAACAAAAGAATAAAGCACATTTATTTAAATAAAGACATTAAATGATCCTAACAAGAAAAAAAAAGAAATTAAATGAGATAATATATGTGTAGTCCTATAAATATGACTCATAACATGTAACTATAAAACAATTTCTATTTGTCTCCCTTTGTCCTTTAAACTGATCCTATGGAGTTACTTTTCCCTTTGTCCCTCAATGAAATTTAGGCTAAGTCCCCTGACAACCCCTTCTTCACCCCTTGGCCCAGGAATAACTTTTAGCTTCTTTCTGCTGACATCTTTTTGCTCCTCTCAAGACGCTTTTGTTTTTTGAGACAGACTCTTGTTCTATTGCCCAGGCTGGAGGGTAATGGCACAGACTCGGATCACTGTAACCTCTGCCTCTGGGTTCAAGCGATTCTCCTGCCTCAGCCTCCCTGGTAGCTGGGGTTACAGGTGCCCACCACCATGCCTGGCTAAATTTTGTATTTTTAGTAGAGACAGGGTTTCACCATGTTGGCCAGGCTGGTCTCAAGCTCCTGACCTCAAGTGATCTGCCTGCCTCAGCCCCTCAAAGTTCTGAGATGAAAGGCATGAACCATGCCGGCTGGCCAGGAGGCTTTCTTGATCAGGCTCTGAGATGACTCCATGCTGCTCTCTTATGGCAGCGGCCGCCACTCATCCACTAGGAAACTTCACTCATCCTCTGCCCTCGTGACCTCCCGGCATGCAGGCAGATCCTAATGCGGCTCCCCTCCTTGCTGCACTGCCAAGTCATCTGGCCACCATCTCCAGCCACTGAGATTCTTCTGGCATGAGTCACTCCAGTTCACTGTGTCCATGAAGCTCTTGGTCTTGTTACCCAGGCTGGAGTGCAATGACATGATCTCGGTTCACTACAACCTCCTCCTCCCAGATTCAAGCGATTCTCCTGCCTCAGCCTCCTGAGTAGCTGGGATTACAGGTGCCCACCATTATGCCTGGCTAATTTTTTGGATTTTTAGTAGAGATGGGGTTTCACCATGTTGGCCATGGTGGTCTCAAACTCCTGACCTCAGGTGAGCCACCTACTTCAGTCTCCCAAAGTGCTGAGATTACAGGCGTGAGCCATCATGACCAGCCAGAATGTGCGTTTCTGATCTCCTCCAACTATCTCCAGGGAGACTAATACTCCCCCGGCTACACTGTGAGAATGGGGGGTGGGCAGAGGGGAGAAGGGTACCCCAGCCAGCCCTGGGAATGCAGCAGGTGTGGCAGTGTCCCAAGCAGGCACCAAACAATTCCTACACTGGCTACCCTGCTAGATATTTTGTCCCTTTAAATATTTACTCATCAATCCCACTGAGAGAGGAATTATGAGGCCACTTGCTCCATGTGACCAAAGGGGCTACAGAAGTGCCAGGTCAGGAGGCAGAATGAAAACCATACCCAGGAAACAGAGGAGGAGGAGGCTGGAGAGGAAGGCAGTGGGTGGGTTGGGGGCAGGGAGGACCCTAAAGTCAGTTGCCTTGGGGAGAAACCTGGGATCTGAAGGTAGCCCAGACACCCTGTTCCCTGGGGGAGGGGTCTGGATCCATTCTCCTAGTGGCCCAGGAGGAGACAGATGGTCTGGGAAGGCGAGGCCAGTGCCCTAGGAACAGCCACACCAGCAAGCTTATCTCAGATGATTAAATGGCAGCAGATAAATTTAACTAAACGTGAGTAATGGGGACACAAAGGGGAAGTGAAGAGAAATAGAATATTTTAGCAACATAAGGAAATGAGAAGAAAATGACTTTGCAATGAAATGTCAAACTTCTGTGCCTGGAGGAGATGTAATCTGGTCATTGCAGGCCCAGGAGAGCGGGGAAGTCTGTAGTTATTTCAAGCAAATTTTAATTCACTTTAATTTAATAACATACAACCAAATACCTTTGAGACAGTGACAAGGGACAGAACTGGAAATCAGACAGTGCCAGCCCTGTGAACTGAGGTGTTTCTTGTTTGATTTTTGGAAAGAGAAGCTGTACTTATATTCATTCATTCATTAACTCATTCATTCAGGGTGTGAATGTTAAAGGCTCAGGATTAATAAAACATATAACTCAGCTTCCCCCAGCTCACAGGAAATCCTGGCCAGCTGGGACGACTGACAAGTGAACAGAAAGTTGCAATGTAGGGGCTGGGTGCAGTGGCTTACACCTGTAATCCCAATACTTTGGGAGGCCAATGTGAGAGGATACCATAAGGCCAGTTCCAGACCAACCTGAGCAATAAGCAAGATCCCATTTCTACAAAAAATACAAAAATTAACCAGGTGTGGTGGGACAGGCCTGTAGTCCTAGTTACTTGAAGGCTGAGGTAGGAGGGCTGCTTGAGCCCAGGAATTCAAGGCTGCAGTGATTTCACCACTGCACCACAGCCTGAGCAACAGAGTAAAGCCCTGTCTCAAAAAAAGAAAAAAAAAAAATTGCAATGTTAGGCCACATCCTGGGCCTAATATACTCAGTATTCAGTAGAAGTTTGTGGAATAAATACAGGATGGAAAGGGTGGTTTGGGGAAGGTGCCAGAAAGAGTGAACATCTAGCTGGGCCTTTTTCTTTTTGAGATAGTCTCGCTATGTGGTCCAGGCTGGAGTGCTGTGGCACACTCTTGCTCGCTGCAACCTCAGCCTCCTGGGTTCAAGTGATTCTGTTGCCTCTGCTTCCCAAGTAACTGAGATTATGGGCGCCCGCCACCACGCCCAGCTAATTTTTGCATTTTTGGTAGAGACGGGGTTTCACCATGTTGCCCAGGCTGGTCTCAAACTCCTGACCTCAGATGATCCGCCTGCCTCAGCTTCCCAAAGTGCTGGGATTACAGGCATAAGCAACAGTGCTCGCTCTTCTAGCTGGGTCTTAAAGGATGAATAAGCTCACCAGGAAGGCAAGTAAGTCCAGAGCACATCCAGGAACTGCATGTGACAAGGAGAAAAGGATCATGTGTGACAAGGGGATGCTGGTTACATTTGTTGGGCTGGGGAAGATTGGCCAGGGAATGGGGACAGGGTGAGAAGAAGAAAAAGGCAAAGAGGGGCCCTGATGAGGAGTGACACTCAGGAAGGCGGACTATGAAAAGAAGTCCTCCCCTACCCCTCATGCCATCACTGAGATCTCTAGCCCAGCCCAGCCCAGTGCCTTCTCATCCTTCAAGGCTCTAGCATCACTTCCTCCAGGAAGCCTTTCTGCCTAGCTCAGGCTGCAATTGGTCCCATCCTCCTCCTCCCATGTGGTGCTCCCCGCACACTGCGCCACCAACCTTGTGACTGCCTATCTCCAGTCCCCTATTGGGTTGGCTTGCCTGTATGCTTGCCTGTCTCTCAACTGAGCCTGCATGCCCAGTTCTGCTGATGCTGCCCCACCCCACACACTAGTGGCTCCCTGGATTCCGGCCAGGCTGCGCTGTCTATGGGATTCCATTGCACAGACGCACAAGGTTGACAGGGAAAAGTGGCTCCCAAAGCTAGACTCTGAATCAAGGGTTGCTAAGTGTGGGGTGGGTGGGGCGGGGGTGTTGGGGAGTGTTGGCTAAGGGAAAGATATTTTATTCCACATCACGTAAGATTTTTGCACTCATGGCCAGGAGCAGTGGCTCACGCCTGTAATCCCAAGGCACGGGGATCACTTGAGGTCAGGAGTTCAAGATTAGCCTGGCCAACATGGTGAAATCCCGTCTCTACTGAAAATACAAAAATTATCCAGGCCTGGTGGTGCACCCCTGTAGCCCAGCTACTCCGGAGGCTGAGGCAAAAAAATCACTTGAACCTGGGAGGCGGAGGTTGCAGTGAGCTGAGATTGTGCCACTGTACTTCAGCCTGGGTGACAGAGCCAGACTCTGTCTCAGAAAAATAAATAAATAAATAAAAGAAAAAACAAATTTGCACTCTCTCTCTTTTTTTTTTTTTGAGACAGAGTCTCTGTCACCCAGGCTGGAGTGCAGTGGCATGAACCTCTGCCTCCCTGGTTCAAGCGATTCTCCTGCCTCAGCCTTCCAAGTAGCTGGGATTACAGGCACCCACCAACATATCCAGCTAATTTTTGCATTTTTAGTAGAGACGGGGTTTCACCATGTTGGCCAGGCTGGTCTCAACTCCTGACCTCAGATGATTCACCCACCTCAGCCTCCCAAAGTGCTGGGGTTATAGGCGTGAGCCACCACGCCCAGCCAGACTTTTACACTCTAGAGAGGGACTTTGGAAGTGCCCTGGGTGACAGCCCTTCTGAAGTCCCCAGGAACCCTGGCTGGAAGGAATTTGTAGTTAGAGCTGTTGTGCCTGAGTGACAAAGCCAGAGAAGCCTGGCCCCAGGTGGAGAAACTGAAATGGCTGGAGTGGTGGGGCGGGTGGCCAGGTTCAGGATAGAGAGAAGCAATATGTGGACCGGGTAAGAGAGCCGCCGTCTCTGGACAGAGCTGCCAGTGAAATACACCGCCCGAGGGGAAGGAAAGAACTGCAGGTTCTGTAAGTGTCCGCTGGGGGGCTACAGAGGCTACACCAGATGGGTCGCCATGGTAACCACGGAGCTGCGGCTCTGTTGTCCCCAGACTGTGGCGGGGAGGTACCGAGAACGCTCCAGTGGCGTCCCACATCCCGGGGCGAGGCAGGGGGCAAGGGGGGATGGGAATGTTGGGGAGTGGGGGTAGGGGTGTGGGAGGGTGGGGTGACCATTAGCCCCATGCAGGCCGTGAGCCCAGGCCAAGGTCCAGGCAGAGATGAAGGACCCAGCTGACTTTCACCCTCGTGTTTTCTCACCTCTGCGCAGGTCACACCTTCACTGGTTGAACCGGGCTTAGCAGTTGTGGTAGAAAAAAATTAAAAAGGTGTTTCGGATCAACCAAAACAGCTCCTGCACTGTACAGATGAAATAGCAACCAGACAGGCAAAGGCGCTTGGAGATCACACAACAGCAGACCTGGAAACAGAGCTGAAGAGAAAGTGGAACACAATGGAAGAAAGCAATGCAAATGAGCAAAGCCCAGTCAAGCAATATAAATATTTATATATTTATTGAGACGGAGTCTTGCTCTGTCTCCAGGCTGGAGTGCAGTGGTACAATCTTGGCTCACTGCAACCTCTGTCTCCCAGGTTCAAGTGATTCTTGTGCCTCAGCCTCTCAAGTAGCTGGGACTACAGGTGCATGCCACGAGGCCCAGCTAATTTTTGTGTTTTTAGTAGAGATGGGGTTTGACCATGTTGGCCTGGCTGGTCTCAAACTTTTGGCCTCAATCGATCCGCTCGCCTCAGCCTCCCAAGGTGCTGGAATTACAGGCATGAGCCACCGCACCTGGCCCAATCTTGTTTAATTTCTAGCCCCTCATTCTTTCTCTGCCCTCCTTCTCTATTCTTGGCTCATTTTGTCCACTTTCTCTTTTCTTTTTTCATTTTTTTTTTTGTTTGTTTGTTTGAGACAGAGCTTGCTTTGTTGCAAAGGCTGGAGTGCAGTGGCATGATCTCAAAAAGCCACTAGGCCAGGCTAATTTTGTATTTTTAGTAGAGATGGGGTTTCACCATGTTGGCCAGTCTGGTTTCAAACTCCTGATCTCAGGTGATCCACCCACCTTGGCCTCCCAAAATGCTGAGATTACAGGCGTGAGCCACCATGCCCAGCCTTGTCCACTTTCTTGTCTCTAAGCAGAGTCCTCTGCTTGGCTGCAAAAACCCTCAGATGGCATCCATATCTTGAATGGCTGCATGGAATCAGACCTCTCCCCACAACCAGCCACATCCCAGGGTCATTGAATAAACTTGTCTCAGGTGCACAGAGGTATCTGGGGAAAGCCTTGCATGGGTGGACATTCTTCATGAATTCAAGCCCATGAGGAAAGCCTGGGATAAAAGAGACCAGGCCACAGGGTGAGGGCAAAGACGGGATGCTAGGGTACTCCTGGGGCCCACCATCAACTGACAAAGGGACAAGTGACTGGCCTGAGGAGGGCCTCTCTGGGAGACCCAGGTGGCTGAACTAGAGCCCAGTGCGAGGTCTCCTGACTGCTGGCCCTTGTTAACTGCAGGAACTACATCACCTTGAGGTGACACCACTTGCCTCTGGCCTGAGTCACCCCAGTTGAGGTGAATCAAGAGTGTGTGGAAGGTTGGGCACAGTGGCTCATGCCTGTAATCCCAGCACTTTGGGAGGCGGAGGCAGGAGGATGGCTTGAGCCCAGGAGTTCAAGACCAGCCTGGCTACATAATGAAACCCCATTTCTGTATAAATGAAAATATATGAAAAATAAAAAAGAGTTTGTAGAGCCCTTCAGATTGGCCCAGGGTTGCAAGAGAACACCAGAGGAACTCAGACAGCTTGGCCTCCTAGGTGCTCAGTGAACTTTTGTTGAACCGAAAGTCATCTTCTGGGGCTTGTGGAGGTGTCAACAACTTGACCAAGATCAGACCTATCAGACATCACCACAGGGTGTCTGTGACGAGGCCCTAAATGCTCACAGTGCACTGAGTGGGTCCGGGGAACTGAGTCCCTGTTTTTTTGTTGTTGTTGTTATCTGCCCTCCCCAGCATATATCTGAATAAGAAACTTTAATTAGACTGAACTAACAACAAAGTGTGGTATAGTTTTCCATACAAGGAAATGGTATTCCATACAATAGCACAGTCTTCAGCAATAAAATGGAATCAATTATTAATACACATGATGACTTGGGTGGACTTAAAGCGCATTATTCTAAGTAAAAAGTAAATACAATCTGGGCTGGGCTTGGTGGCTCACGCCTATAATCCCAGCACTTTGGGAGGCCAAGAAGGATGGATCACGAGGTCAAGAGATTGAGACCATCCTGGCCAACATGGTGAAACCTTGCCTCTACTAAAAATACAAAAATTAGCTGGGCATGGTGGTGCATGCCTGTAATCTCAGCTACTCAGGAGGCTGAGGCAGGAGAATTGCTTGAACCCAGGAGGCGGAGGTTGTAGTTTGCCAAGATTGCGCACTCCAGCCTGATGACACAGTGAGACTCCATCTCAAAAAAAAAAAAAAAAAAGTAAATACAATCTCAAGTATGCTGCATGATTTCATTTATATAACATTTAAAAGTAATAGAGATTTTAAAAGTATAGAGATGGAGAATAGATTAGTGATTGTCATGGATTAGAGAAGGAGCTAGAGAGGGCATCACCAAAAGAGAGTAGCCCAAAGGGAGTTTGTTTGTGGTAATAGGAGTTTTGTATCTTAAATTTATGATGGTTCTATGAATGTACACATATGATAAGATGCCATAGAATTATACACAAATACATAAAAAATATATGCAAAGCAGGTAAAAATCTAAGTAAGGTCTCTAGATAAATACATTGTGGTAATATCAATTTCCTGATTTTGAGAACGTACTAGAGTTATGTAAGGTGCCACCATCGAGGGAAACTGAGTGATGGGTACCTGGAACTTCTTCGTTCTACTTTTCCAACTTCTTGTGCATCTATCATTAACTCAAAATTACAAGTTTAACAAAAACTGTACCAACTTTATTCTGTTTTGAATATTTTGAGTTCGGGGGTGGTTAGTGTCATGGAATTTTTTTTTTTTTTTTTTTTTTTGAGACGGAGTTTCGCTCTTGTTACCCAGGCTGGAGTGCAATGGCGCGATCTCGGCTCACCGCAACCTCCGCCTCCTGGGTTCAGGCAATTCTCCTGCCTCAGCCTCCTGAGTAGCTGGGATTACAGGCATGCACCACCATGCCCAGCTGATTTTTTGTATTTTTAGTAGAGACGGGGTTTCACCGTGTTGACCAGGATGGTCTCGATCTCTTGACCTCGTGATCCACCCGCCTCGGCCTCCCAAAGTGCTGGGATTACAGGCGTGAGCCACCGCGCCCGGCCCAGTGTCATGGAATATTATCCAGGACTCTTTGGTTGCTGAAGTCAGAGAAACCATTTTACTTATTCATTGACTTTATTTATTTGAGACAGAGTCTCACTCTGTTGCCCAGGCTGGAGTGCAGTGGCGTGATCTTGGCTGACTGCAGCCTCCATCTCCCGAAGCTATTCCCCTGCCTCAACCTCCTGAGTAGCTGGGATTACAGGTGCACGCCACGACACTCGACTAATTTTTTGTATTTTTAGTAGAGATGGGGTTTCACCATGCTGGCCAGGCTGGTCTGGCACTCCTGACCTCAGGTGATCCACCCACCTTGGCCTCCCAAAGCGCTGGGATTACAGGTGTGAGCCATCACGCCTGGCCAGAGAACCAATTTTAAACTGGCGTAGGACAAAACAGGAAGAAATTATTGGTGCATATAATTAAACTGAAACGAGCAGGGCTAGAGCTGCACGCAGGGCTAGCTAACTTGGGATTGGCACAAAGAGAATTTCTCCCTCTCTCTCTCCCTCTCTCTCTCTCTGCCTCTTCCTTTCCCGTCCCTCCTCCCTTCCCCATTCCCATCCCTCATCTCTTCCTCCCCTCCCTCTCTCTCAGCCTGTACTCTGGACTCCTGTCTGTGTGTTGGCTTCCAGTTCTCACCGCTCTGCTATAATCTAGGGGGAAAGGCTTCCTTCTACAGAGTATCTACATAAAACATCCAGAGGGAAGCATCTGATTGGCCTGCTGGGTCACACGGAGTCTGTGACGTCACCAGAACTTCATAGAGGAGGGAGAAGAAGTGTCCCCAAAGGAAGAGAGTGCTGTTACTGAGAGATGAAGGAAGGGATGCTGGCTGGGTGGGTGGGGCAGGGGAGAGATCCCCATGACAATATATAAAATAGGTAAACGTACATGCTGATTCATAGAAAATTAGTTCCTAAATCTACTGGGTATAAGTAAACAATTTGCTAGTTCAGTTCAGGTTCTCGTGTGGTGGCCTGCACACATGGTGTTGGTCATCAGATCAGCGCCAGCCTGTCTCTCAACCCGGGGGGGGTGGTAGGCAAAGGGGCCTGAAAGCCCTGGAGAAAAACCGTGGTGAGCCCACAAGGTCAGAGGCAGGCCAGAAGGGCTCCTGGAGGGCCCCGGAAGACAGAATCACGGTGGGCTCAGCTGTGACATGGGAGGGTATATACAGCTCCGGAGACAGTGGCTTCTTGAATCCTGCATCTGACACTTGGCGTCAGAGTGGGCTTGGCAAGTTCCTTAAATTCTCTGAACCTGTTTCCCCAGGTGTCAAATGGGGATGAGAATATCTACCTCACAGGTTGTTAAATTCAGTTGAGATCATGTATGCGCAGTGCTTCGCCCGGGCCCCAGCAGGTAGGGCTGCTACGTGGTTGACTTTAGAGCAGTAGTGCGCCGCAGAGGACGGCAGGTGGCGCTCGAACTCAGCAGTTTTGAGATGGAACCCCGGGAGGGTCGAGGCAAAGCAGGCGCCTGGTGTCAGTAGAGGAAGGGTACCCGGGTGCTGGTTCACGTTTTCCCGGGATCGAAAGCAGGTGGACGCGCATCTCGGCCTCAGACCCAGCAGAGGAGGTGAGAAGCCACCCAGGCCCCACTTAGCAGTTCACCCTTGTTTTCCTGTCATGGGACCCGGGTTCCCTATTGCTCCGGGAATCCCAAGCCCTCCAGCTTAACAGTAGTGGACCTGGCTACTTTCGCTGGATCCCATCTCTTCTCACGGTTTTCGTGGAAACCAAAGGGTGGGGCACTTTAATGAACGTTTTAAGTTACCGGAACTTGGATATTCTTGTGTTATGGGGGAGGCCCCAGCCAGAAAGCTGGACCCACACCGGGCAGAGTGAGGAACTGGAGGTCCAGTGCACGTGGATGTTAAAGTTTTGTTTTCTTTCTTTCTTTCTTTTTTTTTTTTTTTTTTTTTTTTTTCAGAGACACGATCTCACTCTGTCACCCAAGCTGGGATACCCTGGCGCGACCATAGCTCACTGCAGCCTCGATCTCCTGGGCTCAAGAGATCATCCTGCCTCAGCCGCACAAGTAGCTGGGAATACATGCGTGCGCCGCCACGCCTGGCTAATTTTTGTTTCTGTTTT